ATTACACACAGACACAATATCCAGAGGAAAGAGAGGGATATCTCTTCTTGACATCACTTTCTAAGAACAAACAAAGCTTGCCCAAAAACCTCTCCAGAATTACTCTCATTTCTCATTAACCAGAATTTTTGGAGGTAACCACCAGAGATTCTATACCCTATTTTGACAGTTGTTTCCATAAAACCAAGTGTTACAGGTAGTCAACTCTGGAGAGCTGCTGACTACTACGATGTATCCTTGGAAGAACCACCCCAATACCACCCTTTGTCACTGCCTATTCTGGACTCCACCTGTGATATCCAGGTGGGGCAGGGGACCTGGGCACTGGGCGTCACTGCCCTACTCACACCCCCCCAGCCTTCTGACACTTGATCACTCCACAGCCACTGACCTGCACTGACGTTTGTAATGAGAAAGCAAGCCAAACTATGGCAGGCTTGTAGCTAATAAAAAGAAAGCTGGTCAGACTTAGAAAAACTTTCCTGACTCCATATTTTTGCCTAGGTCTTGTGTAGAGTCAGACAAGTCAGAGGTGCCTACATTCCCACGTAGATATCTGCCAGGCGAAAGCACTCTCCTGGAAGCCCCAATCCCCGGATTCTGGTCCTGGCTTTCTCATTATCGGTCTATACAAGGTACAGGGCAGCTTTCCATCTCTCTGGACCTGCTTTTCAGATTGAATGTAACTCCAGGGCCCTAGACTGCCTCAGCCAGCGAGACCATGCTTTCCTTTAATCCTCTCTCACTACTCCCAGCCCTGCTTGATTGAAGGCATCTGTAACCAACCAGGCGGTCCTCCGAGTGTCCCTGGGAATACCATGGAACAGCAGACCCATCGACTCCATTCTGCCCTTGCTTGTTGTTGGAGGATCAAAGAACATAATCATGTTTGGGCTTTTAGGGCGTTGCCCAGAATAAGTGCTCATTCAATGTTAGCCATGGTCTCCATCAGACATCCGGTCTGTACTGCTTTTCTGCTGTTCTTAGAGGCCTGCCTGTCCTCAGCCTGCCTTCCCTTCCTGTTCTCCTTCACCTGAGCCTAGACTCTCCCTAGTTCCATCCAGGAGAGCCGAGACTCAGCTCTGAGGTTCAGGACTTCTCCAAAGGCCATGTCTGCCTGTGAAGTCCTGTCTTGCTGCTCCCAGGGCTCCGGCCGTGCACACATGCCCTGGAGCACAGCACGTCTTCCCCTCCCCAAGCTCCAGGCTTCCCACCCCTGCAGTTTCTCTAAAGGGACTATCATCCAATACACTGACCACTTCTCACGATGTAGACCAGCTTAGCAACATCATTTGAACCTCTCAATTGCAGAAATGCGTTCACATTTACATATACATTAGGCCCATTATTGTGACTCCCAAGTTCGCTTTCAGCAATGCTGTCCAGTGGAACTTTCAGTGGTAATGGAAATACTCTGTCTTCAGTGCTGGCCAGCACAGCAGCCACTAGCCACGTGCACTTCAAATGTGGCTAGTCTTACTAAGGAACTGCATTTTCAATTTTATTTACTTTTACTAACTTAAATAATAGCAGCGCGTGGCTAGTGGGTGCCTTACTAGAGAGCTCAGCTAGAGAAACAGCTGTTTAAATTTTGAAATGGCCAGTTCCTATCACTTCCCTGCCCCAACTCTAGCCATTAAAATTGTGAGGGGATTAGAAAGCACAGTCAGTAACCACAAGATTGCCACGGGGATACAAAAGACAGTTTGGGGAATATAATCAATAATGTAAAGATTTTGTAAGGTATCAGATGGGCACTTGTCTTATTAGGGAGACCACTTCATGGACGGTGTAGATGCCTGACCACTGCACTGTATAACTGAAGCTGAATAATAATGAATGTCAACTATAATTTAATATACATATAGTCACAGGATGTGGAGTACAGCATAAGGAATAGAGTCAATGGTATTGTAACAGCTATATACAATGTCAGAGGGTTAGTAGATTGGGGGACCGGGGTTATTTTGCGAGGGCTGTAAATGTCTAACTATTACCCATTATAAGATGCACCCTTTTTAAAAAAATTTGGGGTCTAAAAACTGGGTGCATCTTATACAGTGGTTGTATAAGCGCCCAAAAAACAAGCGCGAAAAAAGCGGGAAATGCAAATAAAAAAAAATCTACAACCACTGTATAAGAAGCATTCAGTTTTTAGACCCCAAATTTTTCGAAAAAGGGTGCGTTTTATACATGTGGAAATACGGCACATTGCTTTGTACATCTGAAACTAATAAAAAAAAAATTTTAAATCTTGGGTTCCAACCTTGGCTGGGCTACCCTGTTAACTATGGAAGGCCACCTACATAACGATGTATGATTCTGTGAGAGTCACGCTGTCATATGATAGCATAGGAGAGAAACTGTGACCTTCAGTTTATTTTATATTCACTCCCTGTCCCAATTGCATTTTGACATCAAAATGCCCAGGAATAGCAAAATCGTAAATCCCCTTTCAGCTACAGACCTTGTGGCCAGAGTCGTTATTTGGAAATAGTGGTCAGAGCCATCAAATTTACATCATCGATGAGGTAAGAACTGATGGGTTTTGGTGAGGAGTCTTAACTGTATCCAGAACAGATGAAAGAAACAACCCTGGGAGACAGGCACCACAATGTGAAATGATGAGGTGTTTGCAGTTGGGGACACAGTAAGAATGAACGTGAGCAATGGTTTGTTAACCATGAGGTCCAGTAAAAGGCAGCAAATGCTGACAAGTCCAGCAGGAAACTGTTACAGGGAAACACAACTGCAACAACCTATGCAAAGTCAATGTCTTTGCCACTTTTGTGATAGGAAGTCATTGCAATTCACATATTTAATGTTTTAGGCAAAAGCCTCTGAACCAGAGAGAAAAGACTATTAACATCCAAATAGGATATTAAACCCAGAACAATAGCAACAATAAAAAAAAAGAAAAGCAAGGTGAAAGCACAAAAACATGTACCATTCCATTCCATGTATGAAATCACCCAGAGTATCAAAGAATCAATTAAGTTTTGAGATTTAAATTGTTTACACAGATTTCAAGGTAGGAGATTCAAAAGAATTCTGTGAGTCACAAAGATGCCTGTATCAGACAGTAAGGAACCTCATGGCTCCTGCAAAATTGCTTCTGCATCTAAGCTGGTCAGAATAATCCAAAGACTTCTGGCTGCAAATAAAGATGAAATATAAAACGTAAGACTTTCTGACATGGATTCTGAAAATATAGGTTCCCTGATCCTACAGAATTCTGCAGTGTCTGCCCTAAATCCTGGTGGTGCACAGATACTTTTAAAGACGCACACANCATTTTTTGAAACCATTTACATGCCTTATGCTAAGTCAGCAGGCCTGGGAATTAAGGAAGGACATCATGGTCCCCTTTTATCTGAGGTGCAGAGATCTGTAATCCCCTCAGAATGGTCTTACCAATGTGGGTGGCCAAGGAGAACCCAGCTCCCCGGAGGCCTGATTCAATTTCCTTCTCATATCTCTGCCCTGTCTCCCCTTAGCCGCCAAATGGGCCATTTTCCTGTCATTCATTCTTCCCTTTCTATAACATCATTCACTTTGCTGTATCTGGAATTCTGGTGGGTAAAACAAATAAAATTGTATTGCCACAATCTGAGTGAACAGCAGGTGGCAAAGAGACTGTAATCATTTTGCAAGTTGTTCCTTTCAAAGATCCATTTCATCGATTTGGAGCAATCGTTCCATTGTGCCTGGATGGTAATTCCTCATTTTGTACCCCCTCCTGTGTTAGCCCACATGACTCTGGTCACTTGGCAGCGAGATAGTTTCCATCAGAGATGTTTGGTCCTTGACAGCTGCCCATTGATTTATAATTACTGGGTCAGCCCATCTGCCCAAGTGCAGCCTGGGAGGGCTGGCCTGTGTTTACACAGCAGTTACACTGTTTTGGGAATGATATTGCTAATGTGGTGGAAAGCAGTTTATCTCTGGTCGATAATCTTTTCTCTTCCAACTTCTTTATGTTATCGATTTTGCTTAATAATACCACCATTCATTCACAGAAAGTATAAAAATAAACTGTAATGATTTGAGATTTGTGACTTTGAGGGCAGCAAAGTGAACTCAGAATTAAGGAGGTTTTATTACTCTGATAGAGCTCCTCAGAATTCTTGATATTTTTCTTAGTGGGTTAAAATCCCAAACTGGTCAATAAATTCAAATCAGGCAAAATGAGAGCTTGGGTTGAAGAAGGAAAATTATCTCAAATGTCTGTAAGAACTAGCACAGGAATCCCTCATTTAATGGAAGATGTTAGAAGAGCGTAAGCTACTCAGCGGCTCATATTCTTTTATCAGTTTCCATGTAAAGTCACGTAAGTTTAGAGTCCAAAAGGAGCTCTAGATAAAAGTTTAAAAATCAGAGAAAATTATTTTATTTCTGGATGTACTGAGGCTGTGTAAGAATGCATACTACCTAAGAAGAAATTTTTAAATTATGTTAATCGTGATATGGTAGAGACATAAAATTATAGATTCTTTTTCTCCCAGTTTCTAAATTTTCCACAACATGGATATAGCAGTTTGATGAGGAAAACAATGTAAACAGTAAGGTGAACCATCATCACTCTAAATAGGAAAAATGTTACACCAACTACTGGTGGGAAATAATCTATAATTTGATAAATCTATAATTTGATAAGGTTATTTTTATTTTGATACACAGTTATTGCCCCAATCTTGTGGCCTGTTTGTTTGTGAACTAAAACTCAAGGGTTTCCTAGACTCCTAGGACATTCATTCATTCATTCAAAAAACTGGTACCGAGCTTTCTCTCTGTGACAGGTGGTCTTCTAGGTGTCGAGCTACAGTGGTAACTAAAAGAGCAAAACCCTCACCTCAGAGTTTACATTCTACTTCAGGAAATAGGAAATAAATAAGCGTATGATATATGGTCCAGGAGTGATAAGCACTATGTAGGAAAACGAAGCAGAGTTAAGAGATAAAGTCAGGGAGGGCAATGATTTTAGATAAACGCAAATGGAGAACCTCTGGAGGAGGTGACATTTGCACAGAGACCTAAATGAAGGACCAGTGGCTGAAACAGGGGCATTGGTCCTACTACTACTTCAAAACAACTTGTAACATAATTCATGAGCTCTTAAGTTCTTTAAATTGAC